CCCATCCCATCCCTCCTGAGCCCATCCCATCCCTCCTGAACCCATCCCATCCCTCCTGAGCCCATCCCATCCTTCCTGAACCCATCCCATCCCTCCTGATCCAATTCCGTCCCTCCTGAACCCATCCCACCCCTCCTAAACCCATCCTATTCCTCCCGATCCCATCCCACCCTTCCCGATCCCATTCCACCCCTCCTGATCCCACCTGCATCCATCCTTAACCCATTCCATCCATCCTTAACCCATCCCACCCCTCCCGGTCCCATCCCACCCCTCCCGGTCCCATCCACCCCTCCTCCCGCTGTTTATCGCCCTTCCCTGGGTTCGTTCCCTCCACCTCCCGCGGGATTCGGGCTCTGGGCCCGGGCAGGGGCTGATCCCCCAGCCCAGCCCAGCCCGGCCCAGTAAAACCCCGCTCTGCAATCTGGGGGTGCTCGGGTTCCCCACCCGCGGTCCTGCCCCCGCCACCAGCCGTGGCTGCAGGAGGGGGACACCAGGACGGGGGGCATCCCCCGCGTGTCCCCCCCGGTCACGGCCGTGTCCCCCCAGTGCCTGCGGGGCCGCAAGGCCACCCTGGAGGAGCTGCAGAGCGTCCACAGCGAGCGCCACGTCCTCCTCTACGGCACCAACCCCCTCAGCCGCCTCAAGCTGGACAATGGCAAGCTGGCAGGTGGGTGCCCGCCGTGCCAGCCGTGCCCTGGCGCTGGGGATGGCTCCCAGCAGTTGTCCCGGGTGCTGGGCACAGCCTGGTCCCAGCCCGGTCCTGCTTGCCCAGCCCTGAGGTGCCGCTGCCCCTCTGTCCGCAGGGATCCTGTCGCAGAGGACGTTCGTGATGCTGCCCTGCGGAGGGGTGGGGGTGAGTGTCCATCCCTGCTCTGGGTTTTGGGGTAACTGCTCTGGGTATTGGGGTCACTGCTCCATCCCTGCTCCGGGTTTTGGGGTAACTGTTCTAGGTTTTGGGGTCACTGCTCCGGGTTTTGGGGTCACTGCTCCATCCCTGCTCCGGGTTTTGGGGTAACTGTTCTAGGTTTTGGGGTCACTGCTCCATCCCTGCTCCTGGTTTTGGGGTGTGAGATCACTGCCCCATCCCTGCTCCAGGTATTGGGGTCACTGCTCCATCCCTGCTCTGGGTTTTGGGGTCACTGTTCCATCCCTGCTCTGGGTTTTGGGGTCAGTGCTCTGGGTTTTGGGGTGTGAGGTCACTGCTCCATCCCTGCTCCAGGTTTTGGGGTAACTGCTCTGGGTTTTGGGGTCACTGCTCCGGGTTTTGGGGTGTGAGATCACTGCCCCATCCCTGCTCCAGGTATTGGGGTCACTGCTCCATCCCTGCTCCAGGTTTTGGGGTCACTGCTCCATCCCTGCTCTGCCCTTTGCACGGGGCTGTTCCATTTTGGCCCCTCAGGGTCTCGGGGCTGCCTGGGAGTTGTGTCACCCCACGGCTGGGGGTCCCAGGGCTGTGTCACCCCACGGCTGGGGGTCCCAGGGCTGTGTCACCCCATGGCTGGGGGTCCCAGGGCTGTGTCACCCCATTCCGGGGGGTCCCAGGCCTGTGTCACCCCACGGCTGGGGGTCTCTGAGTGGGGTCACCCCTTTCCTGCTGAGGGAGGGCAGCAGGGACACGGGGACAGCAGCTCAGCCTCTCCATTCCCAGCTTTCCCTCCTGGTTTCTCTGCATTCAGCATTCAGTGCCTTCTCCTCTGTCCTGTCCCTGTCCCTGTCCTGTCCCTGTCCTGTCCCTGTCCTGTCCCTGTCCTGTCTCTCTGTCTCTCTTTCAGGAAGGGGCTCCCTCGCTGCCTTTCCTGCTGCCTCTTCTGGTTCTGCTCCTCTCCTTGCCCCCGTGCTGGGCACCAGCTCTGCTTTCCCTGCTCTGCCTCCTTTCCCTGCTCTGCCCCCCCGGGCACGGGGAGCTCCCCGCTGGCCCCCAGCAGAAGAGATTTTTGAGTTTCCCGCCTCTGCCTGGTGCTGATCACAGCAAGATGTTTGGTTAAACGCTAAAATAAGAGAAATCAGGTAAAGGAGGGCGCTGGGCAGGGAGGAGAACGGGGGGTGGCCCAGTGTCACCCTCGGCTGGCACAGGACACCAACCCAGGCTGGGTGAGGCCGTGGCTCCCGTCCCCTGGTGCTGTGTCCCCTGTGTGACCCATGTCCCCTGGCAGGTGGACAGTGACACCATCTGGAACGAGCTGCACTCGTCCAACGCTGCCCGCTGGGCCGCCGGCAGTGTCACCGAGCTGGCCTTCAAGGTGGCCACCAGGGAGCTGAAGGTAGGGGGTGGCCTGGGGGGTCCCAGGGCTGTGTCACCCCATGGCCAGGGGTCCCAGGGCCATGTCACTCCATTCCTGGGGGTCCTTGAGTTGTGTCACCTCATGGTTTGGGGTCCCAGGTCTATGTCACCCCATGGTTTGGGGTCCCAGGGCCGTGTCACTCCATTCCTGGGGGTCCTTGAGTTGTGTCACCTCATGGTTTGGGGTCCCAGG